AGATTTTTAAATAAATCAGTGCGTAGTTCTAAAAATCGTTGCCGAATGGCACCGCATATCGAGTTTATTATGCGCATACTCTATCGTTTCGAATCATGTTAACTGTTAATTAACGAATAGTTTATACGTTGCCCTCCGGTCTATGATTTACCGAAGCATCATGTCATCTCCCTCATAAAGAATCGTGTTTCATTTTCGGTCTTAAATATGTGTATGGTAAATCCTATATACAGTCTCACTCTGTAAAGGATTTTTCGAATTTTGAACTAAATTTTCGTATTAAAGTTGCAATTTCCATTCATAAATCAGTGCGATTTTATTTCGGGCTACATAGATATAATTAATTGTGTCTATAGGGTCAGTTTACGTGATGCAGTTGCTGTCGGAATTTTACGTTCTACTCCGTATCTAATCTTAAGCCTAAACTAACGCATAAACGTCATGTCAGTGCGTAATCTATTCTGTATATAACCATTATCTGTGCATGTCCACTACATGTGTGAACTCAAATAGGTTTGTATATGTGCTGATTTTTAAAGATGAATGGCATATTCATGCAGGTATATTTGTCGCTGCATACCTTTGACGCTTCCCCGGTCTAATGTGCTGCGAGCATGTCGTCATGCTGTGTTCAGTGGCTTCCAGATTTAGATTCAGATGTTTTGAGGTGAGGACAAAATGGATAGAACCGTTCTTGATGATCACCACCGTTTCGCTCGTTCAACGAACTTTAGATTCGAGTGTCTTTGCTCTGACGTAGCTGTCCCAATCGTACACTTCACGGAGAAGCGCTTCGATAGCATTCGACACTTTCTCCATGCCCACTGTAATTGCTGCAGGACCTGCTGTTGCAGTTTCTCCGATGTTAATTCTTTTCCGGCATCAGTTGCCTTCAGTTCTATCTGCTTGTTTCAAAATCGTGATCTCTGAATATTGTTCGGTTTTTTCATTCTGTATTCTTAATTTGCGGTTTTGTGTTCTACCTTTGCAAGATTCGTATGTTTCAGAAAATGTAGTTTCAAAGCTGGAGTCTTACCTCGGTGAAATACGAGAAATCACGCATTACCTCAAGCTGTCATTTTCCCCGTCGTTCGTGTCGCTGAGCATGTTTCAGAAGCTGCGAGTGATCCGCGGTGCTGAGCTATGGAATGGAACGTAAGTGTTGTGCTGTTTTGTTCAATGCCGTTTTTAGTCGTTAGTTTTTTAAGGTATGCCATCGCCATTTTTGAAAACTCGCATTTGTCTAAGCTGTGGAAGCTGGATAGCGGCCCTGAGAAGCTGCAGATTGAACAGGGCAAGCTGTTGTTCCACAATAATCCGCGACTGTGCTACAGCGTCATCATGGAGCTGGCGGATGTTGTGAATCTGAGGAACGAAATCCATGAATACGACGTGTCGCCCATATCCAACGGCAACGAAGCAGTGTGTAAGTTTCGCATTCGGTTTCACGTCTGAGCTGGGCATCTTGCGATACACAGTTTCGTTCGTTGAAACGTGGTCCCAGTTCACTATTGCTTTCGTATCTGTCAGTTCACTTCACGTCATTTTTGAAATAGTGATGCGATCTTCTGTAGACTTCAGCCGTACCCTGGGTTTCAAGCACGAAGGATTGTCAATTGCAAACCTTTCACACGCGTTGCTAATTAGGGTATGTAGTGCAGGTGCCTGAATCTAAAATTCAACTCGATATGCGCATTAAGATGAAATCGGCAGCCGAAAG